ATGTTTTCCATACTCTCCCTCTGCTCTTGTGTCAAACAATAAGAGAGTATAATTACTTTGGGCGAAACTCTGGCCCTCATCCAAGAACCACCAGTGCAGTCCCCACAGCTGGGAGGGAGGGGGAGGTCTGGAGAGGGCCCAGTCTGCAAGGACCTGGGCCGACATGTCAAATTCTTTCTAAAGCTTCCAGCAAGAAACTGTCTGTAGGAAGAAAAGGAGCACATTTGCAAGGCCTGTTGTTGTGCTCTTTTGCATACTTATTAGCGAAGTGGGAAAGGGAGTATGGAAATTATCTTAGCGGTCTGTGGTGGAAGAAAATGTCAGGGCTCACTTGGAAAAGTACTTATTAAAACACCCGAGCTCAACCCTAGCATATTACTATCCATATCTATAATTACAGTATATGCACAACCTTTGGCTTAATCCATCATGAGTATGTCCATCCGGCGGGCCGGCCCTACTGTGAGACAGAGAGCAGAATCGTCCAGACACCCTGTTTACTGAGCATTCATCTCGATTTGCTTGCACAAAGGTTACATAGTGCCGCCCAACACCGTCGTTTTCCCACACTTTCAACTGAATTTCCCCAACACTTTCCTTAGCACAAAAATTCCACTTCTGAGGGGGAGCCAGTTTTTGGAACAACAACACCAAACCCACTTTAATGGTGCGACTTAAATATGCTGGCAACTGAATCGTGCTCACAAAATAGTGATAGAGTGTGAGTGGCCACCTCAGGCGGCTAGTTTCGGATGTCGTGAAAGGGCAGCAAATTGCTATTTAATGGATTGTGGCTGTATGTTTATTGTCAGGGAGGGGAAGAAGCACTTTGGGGGTTTTCTTTCTCAGGAGCCAAAGGAACTCGCCTTTTTTTACTGGGTTTTGCCGCGCAGACATGCGCAGAAGCGGTCCTCAGGTTGCGGAAACCTTGGGATTCAACTGGACCTCCGGAAAGAATCCCGTCCACAACCGGAGGTACCACTGTACTTTGACATGGGAGGATGGGGTTGCCGTTTCCTACTCTACCTCACTTAAATAATTCTCTGGGACAAAGGTGGCACTGTGGTCTAAGCCACTGAGCCTCTTGGGCTTGCCAATCGGAAGGTCAGTGGTTCAAATCCCCGTGACGGGGTGAGCTCCCGTTGCTCGGTCCCTGCTCCTGCCAACCTAGCAGTTTGAAAGCATGTCAAAGTGCAAGTAGATAAATAGGTACCGCTCCGGCGGGAAGGTAAATGGTGTTTCTGTGAGCTGCTCTGGTTTCGCCAGAAGCGGCTTAGTCATGCTGGCCACATGATCCAGAAAAACTGTCTGTGGACAAACGTCAGCACCCTCGGCCAGTAAAGTGAGATGAGCTCCGCAACCCCAGAGTCATTTGCGACTGGACTTAACTGTCAGGGGTCTTTTACCTTTACCTTTTACTCTGCCTCACTTAAATAATTCTCTGGGAACTTCTGCCATATGAAGTGAAGTTATGAGAGAACAAGATTTGAAAGCTCCCTGAGTGATAATGGGCCAGTCATTGTCTCTCAGCCTAGCCTTCCTATTAGTTCAGGGGTCAGCAAAAATTTTTAGCAGGGTGCCGGTCCACTGTCCCTCAGACCTTGTGGGGGACCAGACTATATTTGGGAGGGGGGTGAACGAATTCCTATGCCCCACAAATAACCCAGAGATGCATTTTAAATAAAAGGACACATTCTACTCCTGTAAAAAGACACTGGTTCCTGGACTGTGTGCGGGCCGGATTTAGAAGGCGATTGTGCTGGATCCGGCTCCCGGGCCTTGGATTGCCTACCCATGTATTAGTTGTTGAGAGGATAACCTAGGGTGGGGGAAGCTCATTGGAAGGAAATTGAGATATGAATTCAGGAACAGCAGCAGGATCCCAATATGGGGAAGTCCACAATGTCCACAAAGAGAGAAAATGGTCAATGGGGGGGGGGGTCGAGATAAACATACCAGCCATGCTGTGACTTGTGACTCTTCTTGAAAAATGTCTGAACAGCAGCTATTTATTCTGGCATTGCTAGAGATATTCAACCCAAAAATATGTGAAGAGTTTCATCATGAAATCGACTCATCGCGAGATCAACTGTCGGATTGCCCTTCTCGCTGGGTGCAGTTATAGCTTCTGTTAGCTATGGCAGACAGAACTCTAGCAAGAGGATGGGATGGCGTTGGTCTCCTTTGCCACCACTGAAAAAGTGGAAAAACCTAATTTGCTGTGCCTAGGGAATGAGATACATCACTTGGTGGCTGGCTAAGCTTTTTTTAAAAAAATAAAAATAAAAATCTTTATATGCAGTACTGAGTAATTTTTGCAGTACTCTGCTTAGATATAAATCCTTTAAGCAGCTTCTATATGAGACAAGCTTCTATTCATGCGCCCACATCAATATTAAACCTAACCTCTAAAGCCGTTCCTCTGCCACATAAATATGAGTTTGGTTTTATGGCACTTGCTAAGAAAGCAAAGAGTTTTTCACATTCAATCAACCTTTCCCAAACTTCACACTACACTTACTGCAGGATCAGTGCAAACCTATATGAAAGTACAACAGCACGAAGCTGTTTATACCCTTTAATATTATAAGTCAGCTTTTGCCGTAAATCTTGCGTCTGGATTGCGCGTAGCTCCGGCATGAGCTCATGCCCTTTCTGATTTCCCTCTTTCTTATTACCCTTCGCCAACTGAGTGATATGTGACTTCCTGTCATGGTGCTGACTCTATTACAAAGTGCAAAGGTAATTTACGTCCCTGCATCGGCTAAGCAGCTTATTTGGTACCAACGTTGGGTAGAGGTGCAGCGCTCTGTTTAGCCGAAAGAAAAGAAAGACGAAATTCTAAACTGCAGATTTCATTAATACTGCCATTGGCACATTCTTAAGGGAGGCGTGAGAATTTGCCTCCCCTTTTGCCACTAGATTCATAGTAAGCCAGCATCTCCTCCAGAACAAAGAAAATCAGGGGTCAAAGAAAAAAGATTTCATCCCTGTTTGGTCTGACTCATAACACCACTGGTCCTGAAAGACCTACATTGACTCCCAGTATGTTTCCGAGCAGAATTCAAAGTGTTGGTGCTGACCTTTAAAGCCTTAAATGGCCTCGACCCAGTATACCTGAAGGAGCATCTCCACCCCCATAGTTCACTGAGGTCCAGCACTGAGGGCCTTCTGGCAGTTCCCTCACTATGGAAAGTGAGGTTACAGGGAACCAGGCAGAGGGCCTTCTCGGTAGTGGCGCCCCCACCCTGTGGAACACCCTCCCCTCAGATGTCAAGGAAATAAAAAACTATCTGACTTTGAGAAGACATCTGAAGGCACCCCTGTTTAGGGAAGTTTTTAATGTTTGGTGTTTTATTGTGTTATTATTATCCTGTTGGAAGCCGCCCAGAGTAGCTAGGGATTCCTGGCCAGATGGGCGGGGTATAAGTAATAAATTATTATTGTGGTTGTGGCTGTGGTTGTAAGCAAGGATCTAGGCCACTGATTTTTCCCCCACAATAGCAAGGAAGAACAACATGGTAAAAAACAACAACAAAAACCCCAACCCTTGGCCCATTAATGGATATGGCAGCTATCGTGACTCAGGGCATTTGAATACTTTATTTACTTTTCCTTGGTTTCAAGTTTTGTAACCTTGCCTTGTTTAACCATTTTGTCTATATTAGAAATAGTTCTAGTTGCTATCTTCTACACGGTCTCCCTCGGGAATTTGTGGACTCTACTTCCTTGGAGATTGGACGTTCATCTATCATGGATGCTCTACATTTCAGTCCAACTCTACAATTCTATGGTTCCATGATTCTGGAATTCATTCACATACCTGTGGTTTATTTATTTTGGTTTTATTTTCTGTCTGTATTTGTTCAATAGGGATCTATGGTTGTGTGTGGACTCTGAATATGGTCATCAGATCCTGTTTGATAACATTGTGTTTTGCAGGATCTCTTCTAACCATTTTTTAAAAATAAAATAAAAGAATGATAATGAAATTAAAAATCAGCATGCAATATGCCTGACCTGTAGCATTCTCCTTTCACATACTTATTTTTCAGACAATGAGAGCATCCGATTCTTGGGTATTTTGGTTGTCCTTGAACAGTAAAACATTGTCCCACTGCTTAATGTGGGCTCAGCAGTTGTCTCTTTGCACTGACTTGAATTTTATATAAACCCCGCAGCATGGCTTCTGGTGCCAATGGAGCTTCTTCAATCTCTCATACTACTCCCTATGGACATTTCTCCAAATTCTGTGATGCTGTTCTCTAACCAAATAATGTGCATATTAGTATTTATTAAATTTATATACCACCTTTCATCCAAGGATCAGAGGGCAGTTACAGTGTAAAAATACAAAAAAAATGCCTAACATAATAACAAACAAAACAGTAAAACAAGCCCCCTCATACAGTCTAATTAGTCAAAAGCCTGGGAGAAGAGGAATGTTTTCACCTGGTGCTGAAAGGTATGTCATGAAGGTACCAGGCAGGGACAGCATCATATAAACGGGAAGCCACCACAGTCTTCATGTTTCCACCCTCTGGTCCTCTCACAGAAGAGGCACATGAAGACTATATTAGTAGAAAGCATGCATTAAAATAGTTTTAAATAATGTGTGTATTAGTGAAAATGACATGTAAAAATGCAGGATATTATGGAAAAACTGCTTGCCAAAATGCATGCAATAGGAGAAATCTGTGCTGAAATACAGACAAATTTGCATTCTTCTTTTTTTCTTTTTAAAAATAATAATAATTGGCAATCAATGCAGAAATGTGGAAAAGTGAACTGAAGGCTGGGAAACTGAAATAGGCTGATTTCCCCCATCCCTACTTCAAAGGCTTATGCACCAGTCATTTCTGTCCACACACCCTCCAACATGTTGAGTCTCAAAACTGGGATGAGTGCCTTCATTCGTACACCCACACGAGTCACATGACCCAAGCGAGATCACAGAGCCCCAAAGACACACTTTTTCAGGGCGAAATCCTGGCGTACAGTCATGTGATATCATGGCACCCAAAATGGCTGCCATGCTCAGGGGGAAATGAGATGTCCTGGTTTCTTCTGGGACACCTGCGGGGTATGCTATCGTGGAATCTGCCTAGGGTGGTATAGCAATGGGTACAGTCGTCTGTCTGCTTTTGATGGAAGTAACAGTTTTGTAACCCTAATATGCAATGGTGGGGGGAAAGATTATTAAGTTATGGTTACCAGATTTTTTTTCAGTGAATCAGGGGACACTTTTTTTTCTTTTTCTTTTTTGAAGCTGAGTAGCAACAGGGAGTCAGTAGTGGAGATGGTGAGGCAAAAGACCCTGGGCCCAATAATAATAATAATAATAATAATAATAATAATTTATTTATATCCCGCCCTCCCCAGCCGAAGCCGGGCTCAGGGCGGCTAACAACAATCAAATAATCAAACAGTCAAATAATCACACATTCTAAAAATATTTCATTATAAAAATTAAATAAATTCAAATTGATGGCAACCAATTAGGCAAAGTTCTGTGCAGGTTGCCAGAGGAGGGAGTCAGGCTGCACCCTGACCAAAGGCCTGGTGGAACAACTCTGTCTTGCAGGCCCTGCGGAAAGATGTCAGGTCCCGCAGGGCCCTAGTCTCTTGTGACAGAGCATTCCACCAGATTGGAGCCGCAGCCGAGAAGGCCCTGGTTCTAATTGAGGCCAGCCTAACCTCTCTGAGGCCTGGGACCTTGAGGATGTTATTATTTGCAGACCGTAGGTTTCTCTGTGGGGCACACATGCATATTGTATAAAGGTGCAAAGCCCTTCTTTCGCACCCTGCGAAACATAAATGCGCAGAGATGGGGAGTTTTTTTAAAAACTGGGCAACGGCCCATGACTCCCGAGCCTTTCCCCATCTCCTTCCCCCTTCCCCCTTTGTTTTGACAGATCAGAGGAGGCTCTGGAGTTACGGGCGGGCTGCTGTAGCCCAGGAGGGGCCAGCCTGGTAGTGCAGTTGGCTCAGGCTGGCTTCAAGAGCTACTCGCTGCCTGCTGCCGTGGCGCAGGAAAAATGGTGGGTGCCATGGCAGCGAGCAGCTCCTAAAGTCAGCCAGAGCCAACTGCACTAATAGGCCGGCTCCGGACTGCTGAGGCTACCGCGGCCATGTTTCCCGGGGACAGATTTGCAAATCTGGGGTCATTCTGGGGACGGAATTTGTCCAGGGAGAGATTGCAGATGACACAACAATGGCAGAAAGTGAGGAGGAATTAAAGAACCTTTTAATGAGGGTGAAAGAGGAGAGCGCAAAATATGGTCTGAAGCTCAACATCAAAAAAACAAAGATCATGGCCACTGGTCCCATCACCTCCTGGCAAATAGAAGGGGAAGAAATGGAGGCAGTGAGAGATTTTACTTTCTTGGGCTCCATGATCACTGCAGATGGTGAAAGCAGCCATGAAATTAAAAGTCGCCTGCTTCTTGGGAGAAAAGCAATGACCAACCTAGACAGCATCTTAAAAAGCAGAGACATCACCTTGCCAACAAAGGTCCGTATAGTTAAAGCTATGGTTTTCCCAGTAGTGATGTATGGAAGTGAGAGCTGGACCATAAAGAAGGCTGATCGCCGAAGAATTGATGCTTTTGAATTATGGTGCTGGAGGAGACTCTTGAGAGTCCCATGGACTACAAGAAGATCAAACCTCTCCATTCTTAAGGAAATCAGCCCTGAGTGCTCACTGGAAGGACAGATCCTGAAGCTGAGGCTCCAATACTTTGGCCACCTCATGAGAAGAGAAGACTCCCTGGAAAAGACCCTGATGTTGGGAAAGATGGAGGGCACAAGGAGAAGGGGACGACAGAGAACGAGATGGTTGGACAGTGTTCTCGAAGCTACCAGCATGAGTTTGACCAAACTGCGGGAGGCAGTGGAAGACAGGAGTGCTTGGTGTGCTCTGGTCCATGGGGTCACGAAGAGTCGGACACGACTAAATGACTAAACAACAACAACAAGATTTGCAAATCCAGGGACTGTCCCCGGGAACCAGGGATGTCTGGTAACCCTATATTAAGTACTCCGAAGTTGCTGCCTGTTTCAGTTTAGCAGGGAAAGCCGGCAGGATCAGTCAGGCCAAATGACAGTCTGGATGAGCAGAACTTGTATAATCATTTCTCTCCTTTTTCTGCACACCAGAGCAGCTCCCAGGAGCAAGCTGTTGTAGTGCAGTGGCTGTCAGCTTTTCTAACACCTACTGTATAAAAGAAGAAGAGGACCTTTCTACCCTGTTCATATACATACGCATACATGTGTTCCTATAAACTAGATAGTCGAGTGATTTATTTATTCTGGTTGTGTGCCAGACAGAAATATTTAAATCCTACTTTTGGAAGCAAGAATTATCTAATCACTCACTAGCTTTTATAATAAAGCATTTATCATGGACCATTAATCCATTAGTGCTTATTTTCCATCCCTTCCTTTCACTAGCACCTTGCTTTGAACACAGTTGAGCTTGGCTGCAATTTCTCCCTTTTTATCATGTATCGTAGCTACATGATAGGTCACACCGGCACCGAATCCAAAAGGGGGAAAATAATAATAATAACAATAACAATAGCGCTGCACTTTGCTTGAACTTGGCACCCAGATATATCGCTTGTGCTGCCACTGTTAGCAAAAAAAATAAAGGGGGTGAGTTCTGAAATTAGTTCTGAAAAGGGTATGAGTTCTGAAATTTGTATTTCACCATTAACCCGGTGGTCGCAGAGCAGCATGTGGAAACAGCTCAAAATAATTATCCATGAAAAGGGAAGGGGTTGGAGAATGGGTGGAAAAACCCTCTTGTGTTAAAGTTCCCTCTTCCTGGGAGCTTAATATGTGTAGCACATCAAAACGGCCAGCTCTATTTTTAATTCACGTAGCGCATCACCCAGCTGCCAGTGGTGAGCCTTTCTTGGCAATCAGAGCACAATAAAGAACATAAGAGAGGAAAGGAAGGGAGATTTGCTTGTGTTTTGCCAAGCTGCAGATTCAAAAGGTGCCACTGACTAAGTTATGCTGCAATCCTCACTCGGTGTGAGGTTCAGAAATCCAAAGCTCCCCTCGCCATTTGCTTCCTTTCTCTTGTTTTCAGCGGTTTCCCACCATGTCAGGGACCTTGCTGAGGAGGGCTGCACTGATCCTGAATCTTCCCAGGAGCAGGAGGACAGTATAGATTTGGAAAAGTGGTTTGCAGAGGGGCATAGTTCAGAAGGCAGAAGCTGGGAAATACTGAGTGGTGAACAGCTAGGAGAAGAAGAACTGGGAGAGAGTTAACAGACTCTCTTTCGCTGGAAAGTGTCCATCCACTCTGCCCAAGGTCAAGGAGAGCAGATAAGGTGGGGGCACAGAAAGCAAAGTGGTTGCGAGATCAGGTTGCAAGACGCAGAAGTAATGTGGATGACGAGGGGGGAAGTGGAATCCTTAATTGGGAGCACCGTCATTCCTAGGAATGGATTCTTTGTTCTCTTGCTATGATCATTAACATTTCTAACTGGTAAGAGACTCCTTTTGCTTTGTTCTGATTATCTACTGCCAAAGGGGGGGGGCAAGTCCCTGAAGCCTGACATACCAGCTGTCTAAAGGTGAGTCAAGGGGCAGCAAAATTTTAGGGATGCCCTTCCACTGACAGAAGGCTCTTTGGTCCTTCCATAATCACAAACAGTAAGTCTGACACACACAGAAAGCCTTTTTTTGCTGAGACATGTGGGCCATTAATGTAAGAAGAACTGTGTGTGGTATGAAGTATTTTGAAAATTACAAAGTTTGCCTATTCTACCTGAAGAGAACGTTGTGCAATCATTCATTTGTTCAGTTTGTTAGTCACCTTATACAAGGTAGTCTCTAGGCAACTCAAGGCAGAGTTAAAACCCTGGCAATCCTCTGTCAGTCAGTGTAGACAGTACAGTGGTACCTCAGGTTACATACGCTTCAGGTTACATACGCTTCAGGTTACAGACTCTGCTAAACCAGAAATAGTACCTCAGGTTAAGAACTTTGCTTCAGGATGAGAACAGAAATCGTGCTCAGGCGGTGCGGCAGCAGCGGGAGGCCCCATTAGCTAAAATGGTGCTTCAGGTTAAGAACAGTTTCAGGTTAAGAACGGACCTCCAGAATGAATTAAGTACTTAACCCGAGGTACCACTGTACTCTCATAGAAAGGCCATGGTCTGACTTGGTAGAAGGCAGTTAGTTATGTTTGATATGGGCAGCTTCTAGATCTAAGGTTCTTAGATTTTCCTTTGTCCCCAGTTTTCTACAATATTATCCATCTACTATTTTTTCTTCATGATTTTCCACTCAAGTTTCACGACAATTGGTTGACAAGTTTGAAGTTTATCCAGATTTTCTAAACCAACTCATCTTTTACTCATCATGTTCTCAACTTAGACTGATCTCTCATGTGTATTTTCACTTTCGGCATCAAAATAAACTTTACTTGTGACTGACAAAAGCACATCGTATTTGAGCCATATGCAAGATGATAGATTTGTCACTCAACCCAAAAGGAAAATTTCGCCTTTGGATGTTAGAAAATAAAGTAATTTAAACCCAATTACCACCAAATAAGTTGTTGAAAATGGTACAGTGCCGTCTTTGTTCAACAGGGATTAAAAGTTCGGCTTAAAAAATACTAATTCTATTTTGTTATACAAGTAATTCCATTCATCTGATTTACGTGGACTTTTTTATCTGAACAAGATAGATCATACATGCATCTATTTTAAGTAAATCAACACTCTCCTTTTGAAGCCCTCATTTTGCAGTAGGCTTATCAATGTTTATATTTAATGACACATCTGCATATTTCTTTCATTTTCTTGAGTAAAAGACATCTGTGCAAAGTTATGAAGTGTGCATTGATAAATGGAATTCACAATCAATTTTTTTTATAAAAAAATAAAATAAATCTACTTCAGATATGAAAGACAATGCAATTAATGGGAAAACTTTCTTTTTCCAGGGCAGGCAGGGATTTAAAGAATGCACATTCTCACATCCAAAAGGTAAGTGAAGGTAGATGACAAGATCCAGAAATTCTCTCACTGAATCAAAACACCCCTAATCAATGGTATGTTTGAGCACGAACTTGGAAAAAAGAAACGCAGAACAAAAAGGACTAAAATAAGAGCCCCAGGGATATCTATATAGGAATGGGAGAGTTACACTGATCAAAGAGGAGACATTTAAATATTGTTACAAAAGCCTAGTGCCTGGCCCTCTCTCTGCCAGGCAGTGGCAAGAGCACATGGGGTCACAGGCACACATACAGTGTCTGTGTCCCTTTGGAGAACAGAAGACACAGTGGAGACTGTCGTGCTTTAAGAAATATGGGACTCAGCTCTACAGCTGCAAATAAAATGTTTTAAGTGTGCTTTAAGTGCAATATACAATGTGACGCTAGATGGCGATGCTGAAATTCAATGTACTTTTTTAAAGCATTTTCAGAACGTTTTTTAAATGTGTGTAGATTCCACCATGGTTTATTCATCTGTTTACACCTTCAGTCTGCATGGAGGGAGTGCAGATTTACGGCATGGCCCAACATTTCCTTCTCCTCCACCAAGATGCATCTCAGCCCTACTTCCTCCTCCTTCTGCCCAGAAGCCCCTGTTTCAAAACTTCCTTTCCCTATCCCATCAAACACACAGTTACCCCAGCAACCTTTGTGACATCTGGCTTCCCAGGCCAAAGGATCCTTCTATGGCCCATCAACAGCTCATTGTATTGCTAACAGGTCTGCTCTTCCCCCAGCCAACCAGACTGGTTTGCGCAATCATCAAAATTCGTTGAGGGTATTTTGGGAGGGCAAATGGCAGTGGTGGATGTGGGATGGCGAGCAACAAGGAGGAGGCAACAAGGAACAGCACTTCTACCAGGGAAAAGACAAAATCCCAGACATTTACTTTCAAAATTACCCCCATCGTTCAGCCCGGACACTGAGGTCCAGCACCGAGGGCCTTCTGCCGGTTCCCTCACTGCAAGAAGTGAGGTTACAGGGAACCAGGCAGAAGGCCTTCTCGGTAGTGGCGCCCGCCCTGTGGAACGCCCTCCCATCAGATGTCAAGGAGATAAACAACTATCTGACTTTTAGAAGCCATCTGAAGGCAGCCCTGTTTAGGGAAGTTTTTAATGTTTGATGTTTTGTAGCGTTTTTAATATTCTGTTGGGAGCCAGATGGGTGGGGTATAAATAATAAATTATTATGATTATTATTTTAAAAATACTTTTAATAATTCTCCCCAGGCACCAATTTAGCCCCCACCCTCTGGACATTACTGGAATTTTGAAGTTCAGATGGCGACCCTCAACTTGCAGGTGCGAAGCAAATATACGAGGCTACTTTACGATGTCAAGTAGGCTGTCAATGTTAAGACAATAGTGAATGTTTCAGTTTCTGATGATGAGCAAATTGCTTGTTGTTGTTTAGTCATTTAGTCATGTCTGACTCTTCGTGATCCATTGAACCAGAGCACACCAGGCACTCCTGTCTTCCACCGCCTCCCGCAGTTTAGTCAAACTCATGCTGGTAGCTTCGAGAACACTGTCCAACCATCTCATCCTCTGTCGTCCCCTTCTCCTTGTGCCCTCCATCTTTCCCAACATCAGGGTCTTTTCCAGGGAGTCTTCTCTTCTCATGAGGTGGCCAAAGTATTGGAGTCACAGCTTCAGGATCTGTCCTTCCAGTGAGCACTCAGGGCTGATTTCCTTCAGAATGGATAGGTTTGATCTTCTCGCAGTCCACAGGACTCTCAAGAGTCTCCTCCAGCACCATCATTCAAAAGCATCAATTCTTCGGCGATCAGCCTTCTTTATGGTCCAGCTTTCACTTCCATACATCACTACTGGGAAAATCATAGCTTTAACTATATGGACCTTTGTTGGCAAGGTGATGTCTCTGCTTTTTAAGATGCTGTCTAGGTTTGTCATTGCTTTTCTCCCAAAAAGCAGGTGTCTTTTAATTGCTAGCCCCATGTAATTTGACAGCATTCACACCACCAACCTTTTCTCCTCACGCTTCCATGAAAGCTTGCAGATTCAAATGCAAATCCTCACGCTGACGTGGACGTTTCCACTCGCGCCATTGCTAAACATTCCAAGCATGTCTTCCAAGCCTGCCCTCTGAAATGTAAGATGAAGAAATAAAATCATAGGGACTTCTTAGAAAGGAAACCCTTCATAGCATGGTGAGATGTTTTGTGTGGCTTTGGGGGTGGGGGGTTGAGTAGTTGTGGAACTTGGCGTCCTCAGCAAATATATTCATCACCCGCTATATATATGGGGGGCAGGGACCCAAAGTCCTTCGAATCAAAAGGGAAGAAACAGAGCGGTCTTGTACGAAGCAATTTCATCTAATGTTTCACCTCGCTTTTAACTGCAGTCAGAAAAAGCAACAACTTTACAACACCACCTGCTGCTCTGCTGGTTTTGACCTGACCCCTTTCTGCTTCTCTTGTTATTATAAACAGCCAGCCCTTTAAGTGAGAGCTGTTTAAAGGATAGGAGTCCCTAAGTGTTCCTTCCTGGATCCCAGATGCAGTGGGGAGACTGATAGGCTTTTTGATCTTTCTTTTTATGAGCGTCTGATGAATTGCCTCTGGCACCTGGCAACTGAAATTTCACTATCTGGAAACGTCCCCTTATGTCAAACAATGTGGCAAATCTCAGAGTATGAGTTACAAACCCCGAGCCATTTTTTTTTTTTTAAGCACAAAACAAAAGTAAGTGCAAGGTACTTTCCAACATTACGCAAGAATTTTTTTTAAAAGGGGGGGGGGCAGCGTACTGCAAATTCAGCAAATTAGCAGAGGTCCTGATTCTGAGATTTGGGCTGGATCCAGACACGTCAAAGAAGCAATTTGGTTCAAGGCGTTGCAAACTCATACAGGGAAATCCGGTAGGGAAAGGTGGGACTCCACAGGGCCGCCTGGTGTCACAGTGCTATATTGCATATAAAAAGGTAAAGGGACCCCTGAACATTAGGTCCAGTCGTGGCTAACTCTGGGGTTGCGGTGCTCATCTCGCTTTACTGGCCGAGGGAGCCGGCGTACAGCTTCCGGGTCATGTGGCCAGCATGACTAAGCCGCTTCTGGTGTACCAGAGCAGCACACGGAAACACCGTTTACCTTCCCGCCGGAGTGGTACCTATTTATCTACTTGTACTTTGACGTGCTTTCGAACTGCTAGGTTGGCAGGAGCAGGGACCGAGCAACGGGAACTCACCCCATCACAGGGATTCAAACCACCGACCTTCTGATCAGCAAGTCCTAGGCTCTGTTTAACCCACAGCGCCACCCGCGTCACTATATTGCATATACAACGCATATAAAATTCTTTTTTCTTTACCCATCTAGCTGAGTCCTTAGTTCTTTTCCTCCATTTGTCGTGCCCTTACTGACGCACATGAGGAACTCAAGGGTGATGTCTGCTTATAACGAATCTATGCTACAATCCTATGCCCATTTACCTGGCAATAAACCCCACTGAGCTCAGTGGACTTTAACATCCATTATATAGGCTGGATGAATAGGCTCAGCGCTCATTTAAGCCGGAGCTCACTGGAACTCAGTTCCAGCACCTCTCAGATGGGCGCCATGATAAGAGAACAAGTTCATAGCGAGTTCCAGCACCTCTTTTTCTAGAAAAACAGCACTGGAAACCCACATTCATACTAATCACATGTGCAATTTGCATTCCGCTCTTACAACACGAATATTCACATGCAATCTAAGTTCAGTTCTGCTGCTACTCCCTTCCCTTCAGAATCATCTCAACCCAACAGCATAGAGTCCCGTCCTTGCCTTATGTGCTGACACTTTTTAAAATACGTGAGAAATTGGAATATTTGTGAGCATTCCATAACGTCCCCACAGCTGAGCCAATGGGCATTTTAATCAACTGATCTCTCACAGCCATTTGCTACAGAAGAGGTATCAAAGCTTGCCTTTAGATCAGTTTCTCCCCACCCTTTTTGGTTGGCTTTATCCGGTGGGAGGGGGGGAGAAAGAGAGAGAGAGAGTTGGCAAATTCACTGCTTTTCTGCTAGCGTCTGTGTTCATTCATTGTTTTAATTTGATACCTCATTTATCACTCTGCAATGCTCACAAGGATTCTAAGATGCTTTTCAAGGCCAACTTTGACTCTGCAAATAGATATATTTATTTATTACATTTTAATCCTGCCCCTTAGACATCAGCGACATCTGCCTATTGACATAACGATAGCAGAAAGCAATATTTTTAAGGCTGCTGAAATCCATGTGATAATAGGCTTTGCCTCTGAATCGTAGTGAACAATAAGGGGTAAACATTCTCTCATTCATATATATATATATATATATATGTGTGTGTGTGTGTGTGTGTGTGTGTGTGTAGTGATGATACAATGTTATCCTTTTACTGTCACATCATTTGTTTTGCGAACACTGAATAGCAACGATAATGTTCTGCAATTTTGTTTTGTTTTTTCTCTCAGTTGAACTATAGCCAAGAGCTATAACCATTATTTACAACAAAGTCATTGCTTGTCAGCAGTTCCCACACTATGGTGTGGCCCGTGTAAAGGAATTAACTGCGGTTATCTTTGAAACCGTAATGGTTGGCCAGAGTTTGCTTTTTAATGGTGACCACAGTATTTTTATGAGATGCACATGTCTGGGTGGGTGTTTCATAAACACTTTAAATGGGCCATCGATCTCCGTCTGACCCAGATACTCTGTTTTCACCTTCCAGCGTGACCTGGGCTATCCTAGCGACATTAACCACCCGTTTCCCTGATGCTTGGGGAAAGTCTGCAATACAGTGGTACCTCAGGTTACATACGCTTCAGGTTACAGACTCCGCTAACCCAGAAATATTACCTCAGGTTAAGAACTTTGCTTCAGGATGAGAACAGAAATTGTGCTCCAGCGGTGCGGCAGCAGCAGGAGGCCTCATTAGCTAAAGTGGTGCTTCAGGTTAAGAACAGTTTCAGGTTAAGAACGGACCTCCAGAACGAATTAAGTACTTAACCCGAGGTACCACTGTACTGCACGCAGCAGGCATCGAGTACCACTGTGCCGATGGTTTCGAAACACTGCCGTATTTTTGCATTACAACTTTTGACCCCATTGAGTTCTGTCTCGGTTGCATTTCCAGCAGTCATTTCTCAGGCTTAATGCCCTATCCCTGCAAACCTTTTTCGAGCGTAATGAAGTGCTGTTATTTAAACTCCATTGACTTCCACAGGCCTGTTGCCTGATGAGAACAGGGCTGTGTTTTCTTTAAGAGCAAGGCCAGATTGCAATCAAGCGGGTTCCCTCCTGAGGATCCTTACACATTTATCACCCTCTTCCTTGGCCCGAGATAATGCTAAGATCTGGCACAAAACAAAAACAAAAAACTCTGTCTTCTTCCAAGTTTTAGGAAAGGCATATTTATTATTTTCACACAGCGCTGGCAATGGAGAGGACCACTGGGTTCCCTTGCGCTCCTCATTTTCGAGACATATTAAAAATTGCTGGGCTGAGGTGTACTTGGATTGCATTGCTTCAGTGTTTAACTAAAGCACATAGATAACGCTCCGTGTCATAGCAGCGCTAGGCAGATGAGAAGGAGGCCCATCGGCCCAAGACCACACAACGGAGGACTCTAGATAGCCATCTCTGTAGGGAGAAGTACTGGGATCACAACTGAGAACTCCACCTGCCCGCTGACCCCAAACAAAACAAAACCTTTCCCAGACACAACAGCGGCAGTATTTTCCCACCCTTCCCTAATCTTCCAAGAAAAGGCAGGCTATGCTGAGGCACTAGAGAAATAGTTGGACATGATAGTAAGACATGAGAAGGCAACATGTTGTTGTTGTTTAGTCATTTGGTCGTGTCCGACTCATCGTGACCCCATGGACCAGAGCACGCCAGGCACTCCTGTCTTCTACAGCCTCCCACAGTTTGGACAAACTCATGCTGGTAGCTTCGAGAACACTGTCCAACCATCTCGTCCTCTGTCATCCCCTTCTCCTTGTGCCCTCGATCTTTCCCAACATCAGGGTCTTTTCCAGGGAGTCTTCTCTTCTCATGAGGTGGCCAAAGTATTGGAACCTCAGCTTCAGGATCTGTCCTTCCAGTGAGCTCTCAGGGCTGATTTCCTTCAGAATGGAGAGGTTTGGTGTTCTTGCAAATATTCAAGAGTGTCCTCCAGCACCATAATTCAAAAGCATCAATTCTTTGGTGATCAGCCTTCTTTATGGTCCAGCTCTCACTTCCAAACATCACTACTGGGAAAACCAACTATACTGACCTTTGTTGGCAAGGTGATATCTCTGCTTTTTAAGATGCTGTCTAGGTTTGTCATTGCTTTTCACCCAAAAAGCAGGTGTCTTTTAATTTCATGACTGCTGTCACCATCTGCAGTGATCATGGAGCCCAAGAAAGTAAAATCTCTCACTGCCTCCATTTCTTCCCCTTCTATTTGCCAGGAGGTGATGGGCCCAGTAGCCATGATCTTCGTTTTTTTGATGTTGAGCTTCAGACCATATTTTGCACTCTCCTCTTTCACCCTCATTAAAAGGTTCTTTAATTCCTCCGCAGAAGGCAACATGGGATGAAGCAAATGGGATAAAGTATCAGGATGCTGTGGCAAAGAAGCCCAACATGTAAGAACATAAGGAGAGTTCTTCTGGATCAGGCCAAAGGTCCATCTAGTAGTTCAGTGTCTTGTTATCTCAGTGGCTGACCAGTTGCCTATGGGAAGTTGGGACCAGAGGGCAACAGCAATCTCCCGTTTTCTGATTCTCAGCAACTGCATACCCTCCAACATTTCTCTGGTGAAAATAGGCCCATCCTATTCTATAATAACAGTAATGATAGTTTTACTATTTATACCCCTGACTGGGTTGCCCAGCCACTTCCAACATATATGAAAACAGAATAAAACATTGAACATTTTTTTTTTAAAAAAAAACTGCCTTCAGATGGCTTGGGGGGGTCGCATAACTCCATACCCTCCAACATTTCTCTGAAGAAAATAGTGGCGTCCTACCATACTCTCCAACATTTCTCTGAAGAAAATAGTGACGTCCTACCATACCCTCCAACATTTCTCTGAGGAAAATAGGGACGTCCTAAAGAAAAGTGGTACATTCAGGGATCAAAACAAAAATCGGGACGGCTTCTGTAAATCTGGGGCTGTCCCTGGAAAATAGGAACATTTGGAGGCTCTGCAAACAGTGTACACACAATATGTTTAAAGCACACACCCCACACAAAGAATCCTGGGAAATGTAGTTTTCCTTAACAAACTACAGCTCCCAAGATTCTTGAGGGCAGGGAAAACATGCTTTATCTGTGCTTCAATTGTGTGTGTATTCAGCCTTGTGTTTCACACTATACTGCCTCTGACAGTGGCGATACAAAACATGTAGCCCCTGTCTTCTGTCTTCTCCTCCAGGAATTTGTCTAATCCTCCTTTAAAGCCATCCAAGATGGTGTCTGTCAGTTCCATAGCTTATGTGCTGTGTGACAAAGTGCTACTTTTTATTTTATTTTTATTTTTTGGTCCTGAATCTTCTAACATCCAGCTATGTTGGAGGGCCACCCTGAGTTATCCTAAACTGTATTAACAGAAGCATCACATCTAAGACTTGGGCATGGGTCAGCCTGGTATTTGAGTTGTAACCAGGGGCAGCCTGTCCCATTTTGCCACCTGAGGCGAAAGGGGAAGCTGCCGTCTCCACTGCCCCACTACCGTCGAAGCCTCACTCTCTGGGGGTCACACAAGGTCAGTGGCTCCTGGTGAGGTCTCAGAAGTCAGAAACTTATCCTCACTTGTTTGGCGACAGATTATGCCACCCAAGGGACTATGCCACCCAAGGCGGCTGCCTCAGTCCACCTCATAGGTGGGCCGGCCCTGAGTTGTGCATGATACGAGAAAGATGTTTTCTGACGTATACTCTTGCCATTGGGCTTATTTTGAAGAACATCTAAAGAACAGGAAAGGAGATGGGGGCAGAGCTTTACTTTTGATTTGAATCGAATACTAAAGGAGTTACACTAAGCATATACAAATTAGGGAGTGAGTTTCAGATCCCTTAGAGCAGTAATCTTCAACCTATTCAGACCGGGGCTCTGCTGTTGCTCCATTTGTGGATTCAGTTCTTATTGTTTTTAACTATATATTTGCACGGTGGGACTACTGTTGCCACAGCACACTTTTGGTCAAGCTACAATCCATCAGTAACATATACTTTTTTAAAAGCATAATGTGTGGGGAGGCCATGTGAACTGAGAAGGAAGTCCCATCAGGTTGTGTTCAACACTGTCAATTCTGCTTGCATAATGAAAGTTCCTCCATCTCTTTTCTCCTCTTCAGACCCCTCTGCACACCATTGGAATAGATTTTTCAGGGAGGAGAGGGAGAGGGAGAAAAAGTCCCATTCAGTAGAGTTTACTCCCAGGTAAGTGGGTATAGGTAAAGGTAAAGGGACCCCTGACCATTAGGTCCAGTCGTGGCCGACTCTGGGGTTGCGGCGCTCATCTCGCTTTATTGGCTGAGGGAGCTGGTGTACAACTTCCTGGTCATGTGGCCAGCATGACTAAGCCGCTTCTGGCGAACCAGAGTAGTGCATGGAAATGCCGTTTACCTTCCTGCCAGAGCGGTACCTATTTATCTACTTGCACTTTGATGTGCTTTCAAACTGCTAGGTTGGCAGGAGCAGGGACCGAGCAACGGGAGCTCACCCCGTCGCGGGGATTCGAACCGCCAACCTTCTGATCGGCAAGTCCTAGGCTCTGTGGTTTAACCCACAGCACCACCCGCATCCCTTTAAGTGGGTATAGATTGTACCCTAAATGTATTACAATTCTGAAGAGAAAGGGCACACATATGTTGAAACAGGTTGGGTTGAAAAGGCGAGTAAGATTTCAGTTTTTTCGGAGAGTCTTTGTTCTCATACAATATGGACAAGCTTCAGCCCATGTTATTCCTCTCTCTTCTGCTGTTCAGTACAAAAGCAGCGCATGGAAACAAACACATTTAGATCAGAGTGCCAATAGTGAATTATTTGTGCAATAGTCTCTTTCAGGGTATTTTAAACATTAATAAATCCATCTGTAGAATTGTGGTTTAGGTCTTATCTACCATAAGCGATGCCCCAAATATATTGAACTCCTGAGAAAATATTTTCAGACTGAATCTCACATAGCACATCCTCTGGAACTGTTAAGTCCCTCCTGGGATATCCTAATTATGGTCTTTAGGAGTTCCCAAAATGAACATTGCCTGGAACAAGACTTTTCGTTGAACTGGAATTCATCCAGAACATTTTTGGCACATGTATTTCTGTATCTTATGTTGTTTAACGAGTATTTTTCAGAAACTGGACATCAACAAAACACCAAATATTTAAGACGGTTATGCTACTGGTGGTAATTATTTCTATTTCGTTTATATATTAGGATACAAGTTGAATGAACAACACCTGGTTTTTGTGGATATTCACCATTATCTCCCAGTCATGTCCCATACCACACAGTCTGTCCATGGACTCAGCTACTGTCAGGGTCTGGACTGAGGAGGAATGGTGGGGACCACCCTGCCTCCCTTCTCCTGAACCTTCCTGAGAACAGGAGGACAGTATAGATTTAGAAGAGTGGTTTGCAGAAGGACATAGTTCAGAAGCTGCAGAGGGGAGAAGTTGGGAAATATTGGGAGAGCAGCAGGAAGAAGCACCAGGGGAGAAACAGCTAACAGACTCAATGTCCTTGGAAGGCATTCCTGACCCACCCCTCTCTCCCAGGACCTGGCACGCATTGAGAGTAGTAGAACAGAAAGCTCAGAGGCAGAAGGCTCAGATCAGCCAACACAAGGATGAAGCAGAATAGGAGAGATGGAGGGGGTGGGACTTTACTTGGAGCAATGCCATTATTTAGAGAAGACTGCATTCCTTCGTGTCTCTCTGTGAATATTAAATAAATTACTTGGTAAAAATTCTTCTTGTTAATCTGCTCCTTGGCTGCCACTGTGAGACAGATCAGATTTCCTGAAGCCTGACAGCTACAATATTCAAAATATAGTGTTATAAATGCGCTCTAACACCAGATGGCGCTGCAGAGCTGAAATAGCAACTCAATGATATTTTCAATTGTGAGCGTTACAACATTTTTTTGCAGAGTGTTTTCAGAGTGTGTGTTTTTTTAAACTGTGTAGATCTAGTCCATAAAGAAATACTGGGTGGTATTCAAATAAATCATGGCACTAGTTCAAGGATTAGGACCACCACAATCGGATTTCCCCCTTCCACTTCCACTGTGTGCACCCAACACCACGCACAAATCTATTCTGGAGGGTTGGGAAAAACCCAGAGCAGATTGGGGGCGGGGGGGGGCAGGGGAAGGAGTGGAGCAGAACATCCTATTCTCCAAAGAGAAATCCTTGTGCTGACAGAACATTCGTTTTAGTGCTACAGTGACTACAACACAAGGTGTGTACATTTTCCAGTCAATATCCGAGATGTGTTTGGGAATGTGCACGTCTTGGCAGCATTCTGTAAATTCTCCAGGCAATTTGGCTATGGGGTGCTATTAGCAGAAGACAACACAAGGACTCCTGTTAGTGCAATGGGTTTTTTTAATACATCCCCCCTCCCAAATATATGCAGAATTCATCATGCGAAAGGCTGGGCTGGATGAATCCCAAGCCGGAATTAAGATCGCTGGAAGAAATATCAACAACCTCAGATATGCAGATGACACAACCTTGATGGCAGAAAGTGAGGAGGAATTAAAGAACCTTTTAATGAGGGTGAAAGAGGAGAGCGCAAAATATGGTCTGAAGCTCAACATCAAAAAAACGAAGATCATGGCCACTGGTCCCATCACCTCCTGGCAAATAGAAGGGGAAGAAATGGAGGCAGTGAGAGATTTTATGTTCTTGGGCTCCATGATCACTGCAGATGGTGACAGCAGTCACGAAATTAAAAGACGCCAGCTCCTTGGGAGAACGGCGATGGCAAATCTAGACAACATCTTAAAAAGTAGAGACATCACCTTACCAACAAAGGTCCGTATAGTTAAAGCCATGGTTTTCCCAGTAGTGATGTATGGAAGTGAGAGCTGGACCATAAAGAAGGCTGATCGCCGAAGAATTGATGCTTTTGAATTATGGTGCTGGAGGAGACTCTTGAGAGTCCCATGGACTGCAAGAAGATCAAACACATCCATTCTTAAGGAAATCAGACCTGAGTGGTCACTGGAAGGACAGATCGTGAAGTTGAGGCTCCAGTACTTTGGCCACCTCATGAGAAGAGAAGACTCCCTGGAAAAGACCCTGATGTTGGGAAAGATGGAGGGCACAAGGAGAAGGGGACGACAGAGGATGAGATGGTTGGATAGTGTTCTCGAAGCTACAAACATGAGCCTGACCAAACTGCGGGAGGCGGTGGAAGACAGGAGTGCCTGGCGTGCTCGGGTCCATGGGGTCACGAAGAGTCGGACACGACTAAACGACTAAACAACAACAACAACCCTCCCAAATCTGCTCTAGTTGGTTAGGGAAACATCAGAAGTGTGTGCAGAGAGAGGAAAAGGGATATTATTCTATCGGGCAAGCAGAAATCCTTGATCTCCTTAGCTCAACACTGAATTCCACCTAATATGTATATGCAAGAGGTCTTAGGGAAAGAGCATCTCTCTATGGGGATTTTTATGTTTGGGGAAAAATATATGCATAATCTCAAACAGACCTTGGGGGACGTGCATCCATTGGCAGAGCACATAGCACTTAGGAGAGTGGCAGAGCACATAGCACTATTGAGAGTGTACAGTGGCACCTCGGGTTAAGAACTTAATTCGTTCTGGAGGTCCGTTCTTAACCTGAAACTGTTCTTAACCTGAAGCACCACTTTAGCTCATGGGGCCTCCTGCTGCCGCTGCGCCGCTGGAGCACGATTTCTGTTCTCATCCTGAAGCAAAGTTCTTAACCTGAAGCACTATTTCAGGGTTAGCAGAGTCTGTAACCTGAAGCGTATGTAACCTGAAACGTATGTAACCCGAGGTACCACTGTAAATGGACAAAAGGCCGCCATCGGGGTAGCAACGGAACTAACGATTCACTGTGCTAGAAAAGAAACTTAATTTCTTTTTTCTTCTCCCGTTAGATTCACAAAATGTTTAGGGGCACGCGTACCCCTGCGTACCCCCAGAAAAAAGCACTGACTATAATAGTTGTATTTCACAATGCAAAGGATGAAAAAAGATGGCAGCCTTCTACACTGAGTTCCAAACTAGTATTCAACATGAGCAAAGGGCTCCATTGCTCCATTTCCATGACATACAGGTTTCTAACACCCCTGAGGCAAATAAGGACTGCAGGATAATAATTCTCACTGTGGCTTTCTTTAAAGTGACCTGAGGACTATTGGTGACTTGTCAAGGTTGAAAGAAGGCACATAGGTCATGTCCAGTATCAAAGAACAATAAGCATGCAGGGGAAAGTGGCATTTTACAGGAAAAAGAAAAATAACATTAATGAATAAGCAGGCATTCTGAGGCCTTTTTTTGGCCAGTGATATTTAACAGGCTGACCATGTCTTCTGCGTGATTAATTAGCTGGCTACACATGATGACCCTCATTATGTTTCTGACAAGTGAGATGATTAAATCCTATTTTCTTTTTTTGAGGGGTGTTAACAACTTTGTGCGTGCATGCACACACACACACACACACACAAAATCAAATTGCTGGTGTCAAATTATAAATGTATATTTTAGTTGGCTATTAGCATATCTGGGGCCAGATCTCTGGGAAGAAATCAGGCAGGCGGTTGACTGAGCTTTTGCTGGTCTCACCTCCAGGCTGAACTTCTATTGAAAAGTTGCGACACACACACACACACACACACACACACACACACACTGTGGATTTCTCTTCACATTTGTTTCAAGCCTTTGGCATGCATAAGTCGGTGGGAGCAAGGAAGGTTTCCTTGCATAGATGTTCCATTTCAAATCCTTCACATGATCATGGGGAAGTGGCAAAATCAGTTCTCAACCAGAGGTACTACTTCCGGGTTAGCAGAGTTTTAACCCGAAGTGTTTGTAACCTGAGGGGTTTGTAACCTGAGGTACCTCATGTTACATACGCTTCAGGTTACATACGCTTCAGGTTACAGACTCTGCTAACCCAGAAATATTACCTTGGGTTAAGTACTTTGCTTCAGGATAAGAACAGAAATCGTGCGGCGGCGGCGCAGTGGCAGCAGGAGGCCCCATTAGCTAAAGTGGTGCTTCAGGTTAAGGACAGTTTCAGGTTAAGAACGGACCTCCGGAATGAATTAAGTACTTAACCCGAGGTACCATTGTATAGTAAATAAGTTAGGACAGTTGTTTTGAACAATTATGTATGTTTTTGGGTTAAGTACTTTGCTTCAGGATAAGAACAGAAATCGTGCGGCGGCGCAGTGGCAGCAGGAGGCCCCATTAGCTAAAGTGGTGCTTCAGGTTAAGGACAGTTTCAGGTTAAGAACGGACCTCCGGAATGAATTAAGTACTTAACCCGAGGTACCATTGTATAGTAAATAAGTTAGGACAGTTGTTTTGAACAATTATGTATGTTTTTCAGACTAGGCTGTAAGTTGCCTAGAGTCTGACCTGTGCTAGGCTAATAAATTCAGCAAACAAACAAACAAGGAAAGCATTTCGGTATCTTTCTTCTCTGAGTGGCCAAGTTTAAGCTATCACCAAAGTAAGCAGTAGCAAGATGAATAGAACAAAGTTAGAATTCATTTTAAAACAAATTCTCTCTTTTGCTCCACTCCTTCTGCAATTGCTTCCTCTGGGCGATACTTTACACTCAGTTACCGAGAGAGGAAAATTTCTTGTAAAGTTCCAAAAAAAAGCTCCCCATTTTGTCTGTGTAAAGCACTTGATAATTTGCAATGCATTTAGCCATTAATCATTTTAAAGAGCTTTTAAATGAGCAGGGAGTCCTTTGAGCCCCTTTGCATGTACAGGCATTGGATCAGGGACCTTATTACAAATTGCTTTTGTCTGGCCTCATAATGCAAAATCAACTCGCGAATGGGAGAAATATATCACTGCTGAGTTTTATTACAAGGCAGAACTATTACAAACACATCATGGGAAATATTTTTGAGCCATTCTATTAATAACAGCGGGGCCTGATTTCTTGGTTTAAACTTACCCCCTTTTCACATTTTCTGTGATATTTTCCAGATATAAACTGTTATGATGAAGAGTCACTCAAAAGAGGGAGAAAGCTGCAATTATGCTCTTTCCCCCCACCCCAGAAGAAGGGAGAACAGAGAGATTGTTTTACATACATCAGTGAAGGACGTACTAATAAAGATTGGTCTGGAACATTTCTTTTTATGACGATTGACTTATCAGCAATAGCCATTGTAGCAAATCTGGAAATTACATAATTGCCAGAAACTGTAGATATTTTACTTGGCAAAGCCTCTAGGTGTCTCTGATTTATTATTGTAAGAATTTGGCTTTCCGGAGATGAAGACATGTTTAATGAAAGAACAGTAGAATGC